CAAACGGCCAAGCCCCCGGCCACGTGACAATTTAAAATTAGAACTATCAGCCGTTTAAAATACGAATCAGACGCGCTGGTTGGTCGATTTTGAATGTGTTCGTGATTACTGCAACGTCTGCCTGCAAGCTTTGTTTAAAAGTTTTAACGGTTTTTTTCTCGTGTCAGTGACCAGATTTTTCGATCGAACCAATATTAGGTTGAAATTAATATAGGGATTTTTTATTAAGAACAGCTATTAGTTTCGATAATTGAAGTAATATTTTTTTACTTCTGTTTAGGATATACTGACAATATCGCTGTGTTTGCAACTTGTGGTGATTATGATAAGATTCAAACTGTAGCTGACGGACTGCCAGTTGAAAAAAGTTTAAGACATTTAAAACATTGCCCCATAATAGGATTTTTCCCGTGTCCTGGTTGCGTTTCCAAACATACAATTTCAAGACCCCATACCCGAAACAACAATTTGTGGATCACCAAGTGTTATTCCGTGCGGCCGGTTGCCAAACTTTGGACAAATCAATAAAATCAATCAAATCAAATTCTTTATTTCAAATAGACCAAAAAAAGGCACTTTTGAACGTCAAGCAAAAAAGATATCATAAGGTTTAACTTTATATGTGTCAGTCTGTCCGTCTGTCCTCTAGTGATGCTATTTGCTCGTTCCAAAGTGTAGATTCCTATGGAGAAGAACGAGCAAGAAACTCCATGGTTACTCTTTTTCAATCACTTATTACAATGCATTGTACATAATTTAGATAGTTATTTCGTATTTTCATATAAAAGTTAATAAACGCAATATTAATCTTCAATAGCTTTGCATATTTTGAAACATATAGTGATTGAGTCACATTGGACATTTGCATATTAAATATTAGCTTTAACAACAATATTTGATCGGGACATTGAGATTTTTTGTAATTCTTACAACATAACGAGTGTGTGCGAATTTTACATTGGTACGGGCAATTGACAATTACCAAACACTATCAACAGATTCTAAAGTGTGATAAAATCAACCTTATTGTCACGAAATACGAGTATTATATAATTATGTAATATGTAAATGATGTGTAGCTATGATTTCCACTCGAAAGCTGTTCCCAAAACAAAAATGTATTTTTTCTCTAATTTCGTAGTTTGCTCTTGTATTTCTTGATAATTCGTTAGGAAAAAAGTCATAAATACTATGAAAATGATTTTCAGCCTTTCATCAGTCTATTTTTCTTTCTCAATAACTACAACCAAGCTATAGATCAAAACTAGAACTTATACTTGATTTGTTTTGTCAACTCAGAAGCTGAATAGGGACTGGTATTTGGAATATAGCTTTGCAAGGAATGATGGAAACCAACTAAAGAGAGATACTACTATTATGACCGAAAAAGTGGACAGAAAAGATCATGGTTCGATCAGATTCTGCACTGCTTTAGATTCAGTTTTCTAATGCCTATCACACCAGCGAGAGAATTAATTACATGGAGGAAGATCGCAAGAGAAGTGACGTAGAAAAGTGCAGCAACGAGGAGTATGATAAGAAAGAGAAAGAAGATTTGAAATGTAAAATCAGAACTAGTGACGCGTTTCATATTTCACTCGACAATATAAGTCCTTATGTAATCTCAGATCTTACGTTAGATGGTCCTAGACATGATTCTAATCAGAGAGAATTTTCCTGAGCAGTAGATGTACTTAAACACTATCCTCGTGATAATCTCAATGCATCGTTTAATTTGACGCAAGTTCGTGATCCTACGTCAGTTTGCACAAATTTCAAAGATAATAAAGATAGCTTATCTCATTTTGTTTCATGGTTTCGCGTCACGGACGAAGCTCGTGCTATTTATTTGATTCATTGGGTAAATAATATTTAGAGTGAATATTTTATTACATTTCCTTTCTTTTAACTTCTATTAATAACGACTTTCGAGAAATGCTCTACTGTTTTCAAGTTACAACGGGACTGATTAATGAGCAGCTTGCACGGATGTTTTAGCTGAAAATACGTGTTAAATCAAGTTAAGTAAGGGACGATTAAACAAAAGATAGAAGGATTATGTGAAGTTCAAAAGGAGTTTGTGATGGGAATGACTGATAGCGGAATATTGGAAAAAAATACTGTATGATTCCGACCCATACTGGCTTTAAGTCAGTAAGGATCTGACACACCCTATCTCTTCGCCTAGAGCGATAAACGATAGAAGTCTTTGATGACTTTGTCCCCTTAAAGTATTCAGATTATTTTCAGGATGAGGATTGGATATAAGACAGCTTTGAGACAATCGTACTTATAGCCCAATTTATAAGAATGGTGGACGCATAAAACATACAATATGCTTTTATACATGATCTAGTTAGTGTTAAAATAATTGGTGTTCTTTTTTTGGAGGTCACATCAAGATTTATTGTGCACACAACTGTCTTGCTGCGTATTCGCACGTAGGTACATCTGACGTAAAACAATTAAACCGTCTGCCGCTATTTCGGGGCAACCATAAAGAAGGAAGAGGCAGAAAACGGGAAAAACAAGGCAATCACTATACATATAAAAACTTTTTGCTTCGTATAAATCGACAGGGCTTTTTATGTTCTCGTGTTTCCTCTACTTTTGTCACAGGCTCTATTATTATGGCTTTGTTTTTTTGAATAAAGTTTTATATTTTGCTGGTTTAACGAGCATAACTTAGGCATGTATCCATTAAACTTCTTAGAACAGACATAAAATGGTAAGTAAGTTTACTTGTGGTACTCTTTTTAGTACTATGACGTCGGCTGGTACGTCAAACGGATTTATAAGTAACGTTTTCATTTCTATTCTTGTCACCGACTTATTGCTGGCGGCCATTTTTTATTTTTTTAAGTTTTTCATTATATTAAAGTCTTTGGTGTTCCTGTATCTTGCCTTCTACCACTACCCAATAACATTACATCTATTATTATATTACCTACTGTATTTATCTGAATGTTATGTAGATGCCCATAATTGTTTTCTTATGAAATAAAATCTTTATTTTTATTAACCTCCTTGTCTGCAGTGCGTCACTCGTCACTCACAACGTTGCCAGGGAAGAGAATCGACTAATGTAGCTTCTACCAGTAGAAATAACTACATAGTACTAAAGAAAGTCCCTTTCTCTGTCCCTATATCCTTATGTATGCTTAATTTTTTAAAACTACGCCACAGATTTTGTTCCGGTTTTTTAATGATAGAGTAGAAGAGGATCATATGAGTAATAAAATTTAATAAATAGTGGGGACATTTAGCCCCTAGTATTGAAACAAACGATCTGATTCTAACTATAAGGGGAACACTAGGAATGCAGTAAGCTTTAAAAGAAATAAAAATAGAAAAGAGATTTAAATCAAGTGCTTTATTAAGGAACGATTTAAAAAATACTACTACTAATACATGTAATTTTTTTGATAAAAACAAAAATATTAGATTTCCTTTAGTCTGCCAAAATAGATCTCTAACAACTGCATTCAATAACGGGCCTGTCCTTGAATACCTATCTTTCCAAACTTGACTTTAACCAAACTTCAGTTTAAAAAAAATTCGATACGGATTTTTATTGACATTGAACAGTCACGAGATCTATAAACGAAACGTTTAGGTTCAAGAACCTAATGTATCTAAAAAGAGAACTATTTTTTTTATGGCCAGTTTTATTTTATTGTCTGAATGAAGGATTATATATATTCTGATATTAACGAGTCCGTAAAGATTTCGATTTAATAGACTTCTGTGTCACTTTTCTTATCCTCATATGATTATATTAGTATGATATATTGCTTGTGTAAAATTGCATTTTATAAATCAACTAGCTTCTCTTGCGCTGTTTCACCCGCTGCTCTTCTTCTTTTGGTCGTAGCATGATGTTTTATAGCCTATAGCACTCAGGTTCCAATGATTACCCCCCACATACAAACTTACAAATTTTACCTCTTTATAATATAGGTATAGACAAATCATCTGGTCGGAGTAAAGTTACTTGCCTGTTTTCCTGAGGGTTTATAATCATCTACCTAATGGCTTTTCCAGCCCTTTAATGTAGGGGGGCAAATCACCAATTATTTCCTCCCATACACTAAAGTGTTATTATTGTGCTTGTAACCGCAAGGGTGGAAAGGTGGGGGGGTTGTTCAGACTGACTAATAATCACCCCATTCTAAGTTTTGTTCTAAGCTGGGCAGCGCTACTTTACTGCGTTTAGCCCCTTAGCCCTAGCCGGGATCACAACACGATATGGGATAGCGTTTTTCCATCCAAAGGCACAAGGCAAAGGCAGATTTCGGCACCGCATAGTAGATTCTAGTACAACTAAAAGAGTACTTTCTAGAAGTTGATCAGTGATGACTCACTATGGATGTTAGACAGTATATGTATTATACACCAGATAAGTCGAGTGGTATGAGCGTGTAAATAATTAGTGAACGTTTCCAAACTTACACTGTTGACGTGTAGCAAGCTAAAATTCTTTAGTAGTGAGTAATTTGGATCAAAGCCAGATGGGAGTAATTGATTTTTTATAAGCAACTATTAGTCCATCACGTCAATAAGGATTAGAGATGGCTCGATTTAAGTGTTTATAACAATTTTAATAGATTTATATCGCGATAATTATAGACGATACCCAATTTTATATTTATAAGTTATTACACTAGTCTATTACTAATGTACAATGAACGAAAGTCGAACTTAACCAGATAAATCTACATGTTAAGCAGTTTACATTCAAATTTAGAATTCAATTTGACGTTTAACATTCATAATTGCCAGCATAAAAATATTAGACAGCCAACTGACAGTTTTATTACTAGACACAAAGTTCCTGACAACACTAGAATAAATTACAGCGAAATCCTTTGCAAAACAATTACCAGCGGACTGGTTGGTACAAACGACCCACGCAAAAAGTGTCTCGGTAACAAGATTAGTTGCCGTAATCGTGGGTTGGGCAAAAGCTGCACTTTCCCCATTATTTATGGCTTTAATACCTTAGTAGAACCCCATAAACTACCACCATGATTATAAAGTAACGTGACGTCAACAGTTAATTCTGTAATGGGAATAGAAATAGCATTTTATTTGAATGGATGGAAATGGAAAAGTTTCAGTGTTATTGTGAAAAAAACACCCCCAGGCTACATTGTTACGAAAATACAAATGAAATGAAATGGGTACGGTTATAGCAATGAAGAAATTTGGTTTCAGGGAAGAACTTAAAAAAAAAAACAGTTGTGTAAGTTAACATTTTTAAACAAGTCTATAAGCTATTTCTGTATGTTACGAGAGATTTTATTAAAGAAACATCATAGGTATGGATTCGGCAGGGCAAAAAAAGCTGGAAACTTTAACTTCGTCTTTCACATTACATTACATCATAAGCCTATGAGTGCCCAACTGTCTACTACTGAGCAAAGGCCTTCTCACGCTGAGAAGGTTTAAGCATTAATTACCACGCTTGCTCAAGGTGGATTGGCGATTTCAACGGCCATTTTCGACTTATAATTAGAAATTTATTATAACTTTTATTATAACTCCAGTATGTTTTCTTTCACCATAAATCTGTGGTGTCTTAATGAACTAAGAAAGTACATACGACTCGGAAAAAGTGGCATTGGTACTCGGCAGGTTTCAAACCCACCTCATGCACGAGAAGCGGGCGCATATGATGAAAAATCCGGCAAAAAGCAATAAATTGTAAACATTCAAAAATAAAACCCTGTAATAACAAACTCTGAGAACTAACCGCGATCTAAGATTAATCTCAGCTTGACAAACACTGGCTAAGATTGATGAATGAATTCACATGTAAGTGGTAGATCGTATTGCAGTTTATGCAAAGTTTATTGTTCACTGCAGTGTACTATGAGTGCATCGCCCACGGGACATTGTTTAGCAATGATGGAGAAAGTGGCCCACGTCTTACGAGACACGATACCTATAACTAGCTATTTAACTTAAAATGCTATTTAGAGGATACGGCACGAGCATACCGTCATCGACTTTTTGCTTAGCTGCCATTCTGCGTATTGATTTGTATGTTTAAGAATACTTCATGTCAATCTCGTAGTTTCCAACTAGTCAAATCTAGTAGTTTTATTGATATGTCAAAAATGATACTCTTCCATGTTATTTGTATGAAACAATAACATTTTAACGTTCTTTAAAATTGAGTACATGTATATCGACCGATCAATTAACGAAAGTATGATTATATTTAAATAATTTTATTATTGTTTTTTTAAATAATAAAAGAACCAATGAGCAATACGCAGTTTATCTTATGCAGAAAAATAAAAGATTAGTTTTGTTTATCAATTCCTCTCTATTTACTACGGAATTATATATAGATACTAATTATTAATCAACATGAAGCTTTTCATACCTTGTTGCAAATTGTTTCCATTTCTTTCTTTGTTACTATTTCTGTACTTTAAATCCAAACTTACAAACTAATATTACTTAAAATGCGAAAGTAACTCTGTCCGTCTGTCCTGTCTTTTATTACTGAACCATTTCTGTGAAATTTGGTACAGACATAGTTTGGAACTCGAGAAAGGATACAGGGTAGTTTTTATACCAAAAATCTGCAAGAAGTCACTATTCCACGCTAAAGGAGACGCGGGCAATAGCTAGTTTTACTAAAAAATATCTTTGAAAACAATTGTTGGAGTTCCAAAATTATTTTAAAAATTAGTTGAGCTATCGCTTTAACCGCTGCTGTTTTGAAAATTTTGGAATACATAACTTCTATTCCGTGATATATAGGCGTGTTTGGAAGCTAGTCATTAATAATCTGTTAATTGTTGCATATCTATTAATGTACTTTTATCGTTTCTTGAAGTAACAATGATAGGTGTTCCGTGTTAGGAAGTAAAGAATACATAGGATACCTAGATCGTGTTCCGTAATTGGACATATATCTCCGTTAAGAGGAGTGGCTTTGATATATGCTCGTTGAGGGATTTTCCTTTTATAATTGACGCCAAGAATTATTGTTGGTTTCCGCAGTTGACTTGCTTGTTTCCTATTTATTTTTAGCTTCAACTTATGTAACGGTCACGTAGGAAGTTAATGGAGGAATTTTATGATTGATTTATTGTTTCAGTGCATCCTTGTTATCTTGTTATGTATTCATTTCAAAGTTACAACTAGAATTTATAAAGGCCACGGATATTTGTGATAAAGGCTTTCTTCCGCTATTGTGTACGTTTGTGTATTTGTGCAGTTTCCAAAAAGGATGGATGTTTAAGGAAGATTTGATTGTACGGCTGACGTGGTTGCAGCATATCGTGTCGAGGGTCCATTTCTCTCATGGATTCCCGACTCTTTGTGTTATGGAAAAATTTTTGTTCCGAGTCTGGGTGTGATGTGTATGTGAAATTGTATATTTGTAAACGCATCTACGACAAAGGAGAAAATCCTAATGATAGGCCACGTTTTTATAAAAAAGTGGTTATTTTTAAACTAGTGAAGGGACTGAGTATATTTTATATTCTTGTGTTGATAATCTTATCGTGACCTAGTCAATATCAGCTATTTTGCCCTGTTCAAATTATGCCAACAACGAAATAATGCCATATAAAACGAAGTCACGTTGTTTACCTGTCATGCTTTAATGTAAAAACTACGATTCAATTGTATTATATTCTACAATAAACAAATCAATTTGAGCGTCCGTTCATAGAGCGAAAACAGTTTCCTTTAAGTTTTATTAACCTAATTGGGGAAATGCCAGATTATTAGCCACTCCGTCTGAACTTTACAAGACATCATACATATGTGGGTGTGCCAAAATAGATAAATATGTCTTCGTTAGGGTAGGAATTAAAATGCACGTGCTCGCCCCACGTTTCAAAACACATGCTTGGAAACGTGTTTTAGAAAGCACGTACGTAAAAACTTTGATAGTCATAGAACATATGAATTTCTACGCTTCATTTTTATATTACTTTGTTGTTACATATGTAAAAAACAGGTGTTAAATATATTTAAAAGATAGATTTAATTGTACATTTGTATTAAATAGGGTTTCATATTGTTCTTACGATTAGTCGCGCGAGGTTTAGGTTAGGACCAAGTAGTCACTAAGTCCGATACCTTATACACATCATCAGCCTATAAATGACTACTGCTGCAAAAAGAAGTTCTTACACGAAGAAGGTTTTAACATCAAGGCGGTTGGGCGATTTGAAACTTATAATTAGAAATAAGAGTTTTTCTTCACCGTATGGAATAGTGATTCATAAGTGAAAATTTTACTTTTAGGCCGCAAAATAGACTTTAGCGCGCGGCACTCTATAACATGAGCGGGACCTATTTGAGAGATATCTCCTGAATTTTACGCGCGTGATGCTGAAGGCAGAATGCTAGTAAATTATACTACTCATATATGTTTAATGTCTTTTTCAATGTTCCTTAATCTACCAACACTGTTACTTCTTTAAGGATATTTCATTTTTTCTTTTATTTTGCTGTGAGAATATCATTGGGTACATATTGTTTACTTTTCACAGTACACTAATTAAACAGAATTGTCTGTAAAATATATATTAATATATATAATAATAATTGTTCTAAAAATAGATATGCTTATAATGTTATTGCATCGATTTCATTGAATCGTAGGTATGTTGAATACAATGCATTTATTTTTGCTGATTGTTATGCATCCGATTAATCGATTGTTATGACCGGACTTACAATGTACACGTCGATTTAATGCCACGTGCTCGATTTACGATTGATGATATATTTATTATTCTGTACAAGGTAGAGACTTGGGTATATATTTATGTTTTTTTATTTGTAATGGGCAATGGTTTGACCATTATCTTGCCTGGTGTTAAGCGAAGGTCTAAGATGGAGTACGTCTACCCATAAGCAGGTCTTGAAGACGCCTAGGTTACACCTTACGGTAAACACAGACTCCAGCAGCATACACTTTTTAGGAGGCGAAGCGGACGCGATGAAGTCCACCCGATTGTATGATGATTGGCGATGATGGAAAGGAATAGATGGAATTCAGTTGAAATGCTAATTCTACCGCATATATCTTAACATTATTATAGGTAAACGTGGATTTGCTAGCTAATTTAAAAACCCTTTACGATCTTCTAGCATATTTCTAAAATCAAATAGAAAAAAACAAAAATTGAAGTATATAGTCAAATATATAGTAAAATCTTTTAATCATTCAAAGTACTGGATCAAAATAATTTTTTTTTGACCTAGGAAATTACACAATTGCAATATACATACGTAAGCTTGTAATACACACATTTTTTAAATAGAGAAAAGACTACATCATGTTTCTTAGCATAGAACCTCCATGGCTTAGAATTACAAATAGTCTTAATTTTCACATTCCATTGACACACATCTCCTTTTTTTTTTGGATGGACTTGGAGCGATTGCGTGGGTGCTATCTTTAATTAGTTCAGCAGGTGCATATGACGTCATTGCACGTCAACGAATACTGTGACACTACCCTCATCCAATTTTGTAAACAATGGATCCGATTACTTATAAGGACAGGAGTTTGTGTAAGAAATATAGATTGCTGTGTTAGTCTGTTTCGGAGTAACAAATGTAAGGAAATGAATTTAGGAGGATATAAAAGGATAAGTAAGGGCCTTTGTTTAGAATAAGTGAATTTGTCGAGCAGATTTTTCCGGAAGATTTTTGTTGTACTAAATATTGCGAGAATTTTAGTTTTAAACGAGGAAAAGTCTCTGGAATGAATAGATAAACTTATGAGGACGAAACATTAAATCAGAAAACTGGCGTGAAACAACGATTCTGGAGCTATGAGTGTCAATCGGCGCCGATGGCTTTCTATCATCCGTCTGCCCGTTAATAACGTAGAAATCACTAATAACTTATACATTATTGTGTTACTACAAAGAAAATCTATTTTTTGGTTCAAAAAACTCGAACTGTCTTGAAGTAAGTCAAGTTTGAAATATCCGAAATTAATGACTGGAATGAACAATTTCCAGAAACACAAATTGTGCTCTTTCGACTATGAAATTTAACGTAATAGCCAATTCTAAGGTTAATTTATATTTATCATACTAAGTGTGAAAATTAATGGTTATATTGGGAAATTTTATGTTCATTTTAAGATTACTGGTATCATCTCGTTTTTGTTTCGTTTCACGGAAACTTGATCCAGGGTTTAAACCGGTTTCGTAGACCAATATTACAGAAAAAGACTTCCTAATTGAGGGACCAATGGGATCATAGGAGCCGAGTAAGGGTTGAAACAGCGCAAGCGCAAGTAAGCTATTAAAAGCTGCTGCTGAACGGTATCCTATGCAAAATAAACTTATAGTCATCGTTGAGCGCCAATCGACCACCACGAGTCTGACTCAGGGAATGTCTTCTAACGGCTCACCCAGGGAGAGAAAGGTCATTTGATAATTTCCCCCCCTCAAAAAAGATGGGTCCCAACGCGGCCAATGTTCTGCGGGGTTGTGGGAATAGCGAAGTAATATACTGCGATTAATTGTTATCAGTCTTACGTAATAGGGTTCAAATAGCCGTAAAGCGTATGATAGCGTGTCTAGTATGAACAGATGTACCCCTCAAGGTGTTTATAATGTCATTCCTCATTAAGTTATGACGCTTATCCTTAACGACAGTCGTAGACGTCTGCAAGACGACATAAGTATTAATCACCAGCTTAATTATGAGGCATTTATTACAATTACAAGTGTCATGATAATAATAATTATTACGGTGAATGTCTCACACGGGTATCGTATCTTGGCGCCTTGATGTGACAGTATCAAGGCAGCTCGTTCGTAAGTACCTTTACTTAGGTATATAGTATATAGCGAGAGTGACATTGCAAGGTAATTGTATGTATGTATGTCGCTCTGTATTGCCTACATTACGTTCGTGTATCAAATATCATATTTTTTTCTGTTTGTTGCTACCCTGTTTTGAACTTTTGGGAAACTTTAAAAACTGCTTAAGGCATTGCAAACTTTTAAGTGAAAGAGTCAATAAAACAA